GTTGCTAGCAGGGAATGAACTCCAGAAAACAAAAAATAAAATTCCCTGGAATATTAAATTTCCCAGCACACCCGCTCTAGGGCTGCCTGCACGCTGCTCACGGGTGAAAGGATGGGCTGGGATGGGAAATGCCGCTGCAGCTGTCCTGACATTGGGTGTTCACATTGCAGATGTCAGCTGTTACATGCCTGCAAACGGAGAGACCACAACAATATTCACCAACCCCAGCATTCCGGTGGACATATCCCTTGGCCTCTTGAAGAGAGAAACAGCGATAGGTGAGACTTTTCCAACCAGGAATTTAATCTTGTGGGCCCTGCCCCTGTGTTGTGTGGTAATTGTGTTAGGTGTGTTAGCAATGGTGACTTACAGCCGTGCTTCCTGTAAAGGAACAGGTTTCCTGAGCAGTTAGTGGTTGAGAGGGCTTCCTGTGGACTGGAGTGGCTGCTGTGCTGGATATTCTGTATGAATACATACACGAATGTATATTCAGTAATGGCTTAAGCAACAGGTACTTCAACAGCCAGGAGAACAAAGATGTAAAATCGTAGTCCCTGAACCTGCCTTGTGTGAAAAGTAATCGCAGCATCGTTAACCATGTCGTCTTTCTCTTCCATCGGCCTTGGTTTAGGTCTCTTACCCGATGCCAAGAAGCCGAAGCTAATGCATGGCACGCTGATTATGAAGGATAACGTAAGTAAAAAAGTTCTTGTGTTTGTCCTGTGTCCTCTGAGGGTGGTGTTATAACTCATAAGTGAGGTCTGGGTGAACAAGGAACTAAAAGGTGAGCAGTCCTAGTTTCTTGGAAAAGAGAACAGTAACAACAGTGTATCTGGGAAGATTAATCTGTAACACACAGGAAATGGATAAATTTGAAGAGCTGCTGCTGCTCAAAATCTGTTTTTTGCCCCATAACCTCATGTTTATAGTTAAACAAATCATGCCCCTGATGGAGAGGTTAAACCAACATCCATTCAGAGAGCAGCTTTAATTTTGGGAAACAAAGAATTGGGGTGATTATCTAGGTGGACGTTTTGCCACCATCTTACCTCTGCCTTTGCTGTCCATCATACACTCTTGCTGAGCTGTTACTGCCAAGGGGTTTTGGAGATGGACAAGGAATGATGTTACCTGCTGGAGTGTCGCAATGACGAACACGTGCCTGTGTGCAGCTGACCACAGAGGAGGAATAAAGCTTCAGAAAGCACAAAGAGCTTGTAACGGATTTGTACTTTTCCTCTGCAGAGCTTCCGTCTGGTTTCTCCGGAGCAGGCGTTGAAGGAGCTGGGCCTTGCAGAACATCAGCTGCGTTTCACCTGCCGCGTTCACATCCAGGATCCACGGAAAGAACACGAGACGGTGCTTCGTGTATACAACCATCTCAAAGGGTAAGGCCATTCTGAGCTCTCTTTGTTTTTTTTCCCCTCTAGGGATGGACTTCACCTTATCATTCTTACTGTAGGTAGTACAAGTGCCCTCTCCTTTCTGGCCTTGCAGACCAGCCCCAGAGTTATCAAGATAAAATTCTCTGCAGCCCAGAAGACGCGGCTGCTCTAGATTTCAGTCTGTAGAGCCAGCATCACCAGGGCAGTGCTTACACTGCAGTATCAGAGGCTGATAATCAGCCTACAGGCTCATGGTCTTTGCTGAGCTCGAGCCTTCCCCCTGAAAGCTTTGTTCCTGTTGCTTTGCTGCTGTCACTACTACTTCTAGCTGAAGTTAGTACAATTATTTTGAGCGAGACCATCAAGCACAGGGTCCAGGCACCTCTTAAAGCTATTCAAAAGCCAGCAGCAGGTGAACCTTACAAGCTGTTTCCTTCCTCCATGCCGCCGGTTGATTCTGTGGGTAGCCCTTTGCTCGGATAAACAGGGTTCAGACTGGAGCTACAGCTGTCAGAAAGCCAGACACAGATTCTTTAGGAGATGCCACATGATAAATACAAGCACCAAAATCAGCAAGCTGTGCCTTGGCCCCGTTCTCCCTTTGGCCAGAGGGTGCTGGCTCAGACACACCACCAGCAATAACACCACACTGGTGTTGGGGAGTCAGAGATACAGGAGGGTGACCCACCCTTCAGCTGCATGCCTGTCCCATCCAAAATAAATCACCTGTCTTCTCCCTTACCAGCGTCCTGAAGGATTACTCAGTGCAGCATCTCCCCGATGGCTCTATAACGGTGGAGTCCATCCTCATCCAAGCCACAGCACACTCAGAGGATCAAGGAACCAAAGTTCTGCTCGTATCCTGGACTTACCAGGTAGGAATACTTGAAGACACTTCTCAGGCAACTCTGATCTTCCCGCCTGACAGCCCAGAACTGCGGGTTGCTGTTGTAAGGGTGAAGTAGTTTGACTGGAGGAACACGAGGCGAGTCGCTGCCATTTCCTGCACCCTTTTAGGTTTAGTACAAATCACATTACAGGACTCTACTCAGTTTTCTCTTGGACCACTGAACTCAAGGCAAGTGATCTGGAGTAATTAATACAATTACAGTTAATTACTATAGGATCCAGCTCTCACTACTGCCGTGCAGCACATGGAGGTATTTTATATTGTATTTCTTCGGTGTAAAACTTCAAACACCAAGCAGGAAGCTAGCTAACACAGAACTGGGGTAAGATTAGACAGTCATTATGTGTTCATCCTTTCAAAGGCATTCTTTTATGGCTGTATTTTTAAATGCTTTCTTTACAGCAAAGAAATGCCTTCTTGAGGGCAAAGCAAAAAAAATCAACGGTTCTTTTTTCTCTGCTTTCAAGAAAAATGGTTATTTTCCTCCAAAGAGACAGGTCCAGACACCTACTTTGACAAATGGGAGTTTTATACTGATACTTTGAAAGAACACCCAGAAATAGATTTGTTCTAACTGGACTGGTTTTTCCATTTTTGAACACTGCTAACATTAGATTTTGATGGGTCCAGGAACTATTTCAGTCTGTTTCTAGGTACCAGAGTGGAGTTTATTGCCCCAGATGAGAAAGTCAAGTAGAAGATTGGTTTCATCCTGTTTCTCTGTTCTCTAGGACGAAGAACTGGGCAGCTATCTCACATCCCTTCTGAAAAAGGGGGTTCCCCAGGGGACAGCGTGAGCACCAGAGCACCAGGCACAGGCTATTCCAGAGAGATTTCGATTTTATTTTGTTTACATTGCCCATGTGTTTGTCTGGTTTTGTTTTAATAAACAATTGTTTGTCCAATTACTGCAGTGACTGCTGCGTGAAACAATTACATTGTGAGCATCACGGTTAAAATGCAAAGTGTAAGTATAATGGAAGCAAGAGGATAAAGCCGTCAGCGTGCTACCTACCCAGCAGCACAACTTTTTAACTTATCCACGCTTCCCTCAATGACAGCTGACAAGCCTGCAAGAAAGCTGCATGCCTAGATGGAGTCTGTAACAAAAATTCCTCTGTCCAGAACATAAAAATGGTGCTTAGTTGAAAACAATAGTCCCTCCCCTTTGGTGAAGTTTTTCTATACCCTACAAATGGGACAAAAATAGCATCATAACACATTTTTTTCCACAAACCAAGACCTCAACATCGCCCTACACCCACTCCTCTGCTTATTTTCCAAACCTCTTACCTCCTGTCCTTAACCAGAGCGCAGAGTGGGGCATCAGCTGCCAGCAGAGAAGCGGCTGCAGGTGGGCAGCAGCTCCATTACTGCACAAAGAGCAATCACTACATCATCCAGAGACACATGATCCGTTATCTCCCCCTACCCTTCTGCCACACTAATCCTCCTCCCTCCCGCTGCGAAGGTCCAGGGCAGTTCTTGTTCCAAGTCCAGCAGCACAGTGTAACCTGGGACCACCAGCCCCTGCTGCAACGTGGGACCTGTAACCTGCGTTAAAGTGCTGCTTCAGGGCAGCGCTCCGGGCACACCGCGGTCCCTGGTACACAGCTCGGTGACAAGTTCCCTTCCGTTCTCTGCTCAGCAGTCGTACCTGCCTGTAGGTCATGAGTGTATTATAAAGTTTGGGAAGGGACACAGCAGTGAGTCTGTCTGTTACCAAAATCACATCCGCCAAAGCAAACCGTTGGCTTTGGAGCAGGTTTGTCAGCCAGGCCTGTGGTTTTCTAGTGACTCTGAGAACCCACAAATGATAAATTCTCGCCGACGTGTCACAGCGTAGAAAACAGTTCTCGGAAGCTGCGTGGCTCTGTTAATACAAGAGAAGGGGTGACACAGGTCAGATACGTTTGGTGACATAAACACAATGAAAAGAGCTTTGGCACTGGAACAGGATGGCACAGCCTCAGGAGTCGTGCCAGCTCCCGCAGTGACAGCGGGGCACAAGGACCTTGTTTAGCACTGGTCCTGCACAGGGTTAACTGACCGATAAATCCTTGGATCTGGTCTCCTCTGGAATTGCATCAATAGACATCCAGCTTGGCTCCACAGGCATGCGATGCTAGAAACCCCGCACTGAAACACGGCTGAGGAGGCCAATCAACTGATTTATAATTGGGAGGAGAAGCCCCTATTTGGTGGTGGGATGGAGGCAGAAAGCTGCTTGTGAACCCAGCTGGCTGCACTGTGCCCCCACGGAGAAAACACCATCCCTCCAAAACAGGGCAGAGCCACAGGACAGCCCTGCTCCCTTCAGCCAGGAGGCTGGTTTTTCTCAAGTAACCCTTTCCTGGGCTGTACAGCTTTCCAGAAAAGAGCGCTGTGTTCTCCGACTAACCCCAGAGTTAAACAAAAGGAGACCAAAACATCAACGTACGTGAACACAGTGTGTTTCACCGCATGTCAGAGCGCACAGCTCCCCCAGGACTGCAACGTACGTGAACACAGTGTGTTTCACCGCGTGTCAGAGCACACAGCTCCCCCAGGACTGGCCTCGCTGGCCAATACCGATGTATCAGTTGGGCACGTCCCTGCAGCATTGCCTTGAGGTAACAGTCACTGGAGGAAAGGACGGTAGGTTCCACGGGTTTGTTTTCAAAGAAATAGATGGAAAGACAAATGCTGTACTTACTCGAAGTAGATCAGTTGATTCCATCTCTGTGTTTATTTCCACATCTCCGTTGTCGTCGATAAACATAGGAGGACTCCCCGAATTTCTGGTCGCAGATGGTGTACACCTTCTCTGAGCGGAACCTGAGCCTGAGGTTGAAGCGCCACTGCTTGCTGGAAGAGGTGAAGTAGTACAGGAGGGGGTTAAGGCAGCAGTTGACACTCACGAGGGCCAAGGTGACCTTCCGCATTTTGTAGATCAGGTTGGTAAATGACTCATTCTGGATGACCTGGACTCTCATCAAGAAGTGGAGCAAGTGGGTGAGATGATAGGGCAGAAAGCACAGAGTACAAATGACCAGGATGATGTAGATGGTGCTCAGGGCCTTCCTCTTGCGAACGCTGTGCTTGATCCGGGAGATCCTCTTCGCAATCAGAGGGTAGCTGATCAGAATGATGGAAAAAGGGATCACAAACCCAAAAACTAGGGCCAGGATGTTGTAAGGTGCCATGCGGTATGTCCAGCTACTTGTAGTAAAGTTCTCAAAACACGCTGTTGTGTTCCCGTCACCACTGTTGTGGAGGGGACCGCCAAGGATAAGCGGAACCATGACACTCAGAGCGACCACCCAAAGGAGTGTGACCACCACCACGTTATGGGTGACTTTGATCTGGATGTACGTGAAGGGGTGCAGCACGGCAATGTAGCGATCGACACAAATGCAGGTGAAGAAGGCAATGCTGAGGTAGATGTTGATGTAGTACAAAGTCCCGGTTATCCTACAAGCCATGTCACCAAAGATCCAGTTGTTCCAGTTCAGGTGGTAATGAATTTTAAAAGGCAACACGCACACAAACAAGGTGTCTGCCAGAGCCAGGTTGATCATGTACACGTAGGAATGAGACGTGTGCTTTACTCTGCAGGACAGGAGGTACAGAGCCAAGACATTTTCCACCAGTCCCAGCACAAAGACAAAGCTGTAGATGACGGTAAACAAGGAATACTGGAAATCTGCTTCCAAGCTGAACTCTGAACTGGCGTTACCAACTGTCTCATTGGAGATGCCTTCACTCCAGGAACTACCTGCCATGATCGCTGGAGTGCAGGGGTCCAACGTGGAATAGAAGTCTTAAGCCATCCCTTACCTCAGAAGGTTCTGGAGTTTTTTTTCACCTCAAGTGGGAAAGAGCCAAAGCTACACAGCAAGGGATGTCAAGCCTGGTGCAGTCTGTGGTTCAGAGGGCAGGGCTTGGTGTATTCAGGTGGAATCGGTGTTGCTGTAAGGGAGAACACATCATTTAAAACACAATCCTTTGGAGCTTACACAGACAGATTATTTACTGGCTTTAAATCATCACAAGCTGACAATACTGAATTAGCACAGCTAGCAATTCACTCCCTACCCTGGAACAAACATTCCTTTGCAGGAGACTGTGTAGTGCAGGACACAGTCCCAGGTCATCATCACACCTGGTAACACACATGCAGACAATCTGAGAAATGGGGGTTTTTCCATCCTCCCCACGCACACATTTATACCTTAGCTGAAGCTCCCACGCAAGTGGGAAGGCTCGGTGTGAGCTGTTGGGTGAATTTACAGCACCCTACACCTGCTCTGCAGGCACATTGCAGAGGGAAGCCACCACTCATCTTGGTTCCAAGGCAGCCTAAAGGACTGGTTTGTGTGTCTGAAATCTGGGAACAAGGACTTCTCATCTAGGCCACTCGCATCACTTATGCAATAAACTGTGCTCCAGCAGTGCAGCTTCTCTCCAGCAAACTCTCCTAAGCCAGACAGACACCTAAACCGAAGCCCTTAAAGGCAGCAGAGACCACCTACAAGATGCCCGACGTTCCTAAAGTAGAGCCACTGAAAGCACAAAAATACAACAGTTGTTGGGTACTTTCCAATGGAAACTCTGATATCACACTTCCTCCCAATAGTTGTTTATCTAATGAAGTCAAACACAACCCGAGATGATAACTGGAAGATTAGAAAGGGAAAAAATAGTTTCACTTTAAGTAGGCAAACATACGGATCTGCTTACTTGGGCCTTTCACCTAATAGCAAAGGGTTTGTACACACACACAGGAAATTCATACAAAACCAGGCACGGCTACGCTGTAACTTCAAGCAGCGTAGGACGTGAAACAACCTTTTATATCGCTTTTTAACACAGAAAAGCGTATGAAGTTTCCTCTGGATTTTGAGTCCACTGAATTATTTGAAATATTTTCATATAAAACCAAGCTTGAGTCATTGAACTCTGGTCAAGCTTGATGGTTTTCCTGGTTTAAAGCATCCCTGTCAATCAGAAGGACACATCTCCCCATGTATCAGATGTCCAAACTGAATCATCTGAGAATAATTAGTAACGCAACAACATGAAAAAGAATGCTAAATACCCCTTGAAAAAAGTAACAAGTATCGATGATAGACGTGAAAAAATTATTCAGACTAGGAATCTGTACAGAAATTCTCTACTGATGGTACACTTATGATGCTAAGAAAGCATGTTCTTTAATTAAGTGACTTTAGATCATTTTTAACAGTTGCTCTGGGATTTAAAAAACAAAACAAAACCCCACGACAGTTCTTTGTGCTAACTGTAGAGTTAGCCAGTTAGTCTACTTCCAGACTGCTTGGATAGCTGAACTGGGTTCCTCAGTTACTGGATTTGATAACAAGCCCATGAGCACGATGGGTTTTTATTGTAACCAGAAGATGGGAAACATTTGCAGAAACATCAATAGCAGGTACTGTTGCACTGAGACTATTTAAAATTTAAAAAAGCTGTGATACCTGAGCCTGCAGTAGCAGTCAGCTTGATTAACACCCTAACAGCATCACTTTGGGTTTGGTTTTCTGCCCTGTAAAGATTCGTAATAAATTTAGTTAGAAAGTCAACTTACCAGAGCTCAGATCATCATCTCTCATGCAGAAGCTGCAGACGCATACGCCAGCCTCTCCAAAGAGTCCTCACGACAACAGGGCCACTGCGAAGCTCTTCTGCGCAGTCTGAACATCAGCGCAAACTGCCCTGCAAGAGACACTGCAAAGCTCTCCCTCACCGCTCTGCAGAGAGAAACCACAGGAAGCGAAAGATGACAAGCTGTCACTCGGATCCCAGACAGAGCACTGGCCCTGCTAGTGAATCATCCCCCACAGAACTGGGGAGCGGGCACAGCATGCAGCTGGCACGAGCGCTGGCTTTAGGTCTCTCCATGTATCCACAGCAGGAAGGAGGCACAACGCTCCCACCCAACGCCACCCTCGATCCCCGCCAGCCTGCCCTGCCCTCCAGTCTGCAGAGCGGGACCTGCCTCTCTGAAACCAGGTACCAGAGCTTCAGCCTGGGACACTCTGAAAGGGGCTGCAGCTGCACTCTCGCTTCCCCTCAAAGGGGGGGACGAGCAAGACTCTGCTGCCATTCCCTTTCAGGCAAACCACTGTCTGAAAACACACAGGCACTGGGGGGGGGGGTTTGGACCACGAACGGAC